TCAGAAATGCTGTGGGACAAACCATATGCATGGGCCATGTTCCAAGGTGATATCTGCAATTTGTGCAGGGCAGTCTTTGGGGAAAGACCTGCCCCATACCAGAGTACTCCAGTTATGTCTGAGGAGCAGAAGGTTCTGCATCAGCAGCGCCTGGTCATTTTTTTTCTAACAGCTGAGGGACAAAGAAACAATCCACCTCCTTTCTGGTGTCAGGCTTGAGCTGCAGTAAACTCCATGGAGACATGCAGTCACCTGGATTTTGACATTGGACTTAATCCCTGTAGAAGCTAGTCAGGAAGAAATCCCTGGTGTGATGCCTTTTGTTGTTGTTGTTTTTTTTTAATCAAAACTGCTATTTTATGGTTAAAAAAATAATAAAGCTCAATAGCCACAACTATATATGGCTCCAAATTGGTAAAAACCCATCTCTCTCCCATTTTTCATCCCCCAGTGGCTACCAGTTGCTCATACCCTGGGGTATCCAGACAGGGTCGCTGGATGCTGCGGGCTAGGTTACTGCTAGCCAGGCTCCAGCAATTCAGGCAAATACCTCTCAGAGCTAGCCCAGAACACAGGGCCCCATGATCATTTCCCTATTATTCAGCAGCCTACATCACAAAAAGACATCTAGACCACCTCATAACTCTGAAATCACGTAATTTAGACTTTGAGAAGCACTCTAACGCTACCTTACGAAAGACAGATCAAGCTCATATCACAGCCCCATCCATCTACAACTGTTGGCCATCATTTAAGCTTCTACTTTCGTGTGACTTAACGTAAGCGTGGGTTGGTCCTTTTCATTTTCACATAGAAATGGCTGATTCCATGCACTCCTTGGTGAGTGTCACCCCATCCCCAGGCTGCCCTTGAACACACAAATCTCAGTGACATGGGGTGGGAGAAGGGCTGGAGGCTGACTGGCCTCAGGTCACAGTACTTTTCACATTCTTCCAACACACATGGTGTGGAAGAGTGAGGAAGCCAATGACATACAAGGGTGCTGGTGGAGTGAGTGAAGGGTGTGCTTCTACCTGTGAGGGCAGCAGAGCCCGGGGCTGTGCTGGGTACTCACACAGGAAGGACCCACGAGGGAGTGGGGGAAGCTGCTGGCCCATCACTGTGCTTTAGAGGACTTTCCCTAAGGACCAGGTACAGTCAGAGCTACTACGATCCTGTTTCATTACCCTCAGCCTGGCTTTCCTTTATGGCAGAAGTAGAAAGGCCATTAATGAGAAGGGTCAGCTCACATGGGTGGGGAATTTCCTCAACCAGTGAGAAACAAGTATAGCTCCTACTAACAGATTGCAGAGGCCTTGCTTGAGGGAACAACAAAATGACCCGAGGTTCCTACCAGTGAGGCCTTCCCTGTATTGCACAGGCTCAGGGTGGTGATAGACCGAACCCATCTTCCCCCCCTCCCCCTGCTACTTGCACTGAGCCCACATGCTGCCAAGTAACAGGGTGCTACTCACTGCTGGCCCCTGAGGCCGGCTAGCCTGAGACTTAGATGCTGGCTAAACAGAGGCTCTTCAGGGAGTTCATAAGGGTTCTGTCAGAAATTAAACCACATGACAGCAGCACAAAGTACACATCTATCCTCACCAGCCATTATACTGCCCCCACCACCAGGGGCAGCTGGGAAGCTGGTTAGTGGGATACAAGCCCTCTGCACCACACTGTAATTACTCAACTCCTGCTATCTCCTTGGGATGAGAAAGTGGACAACCTGGAAATACAACTGCTCTGGCCGGGCACGAGGGTAGAGGAAACAGTGGGTCCTCTTACCCACCCCAAATATTTCCTGCAGCCCATTTCCTGACATGGTAGTATCTGTGAGACATACCCTTCAGGAAGATCAAGAGAATGGCAGGGGGGCGGGGGCTCTGCCTCCACCAGGCAGGATAGAAGGTGGCAGCTATTTCTTCCTTACCTCACTGTCTAGGCTCTGGAAGATGTCTAGGGAATACCAAGATGCACAGAGGCATCCTGGATTGAAACACTGGGAAACTGTCCATAAGTCAAAGACCTAAAGTAGCCTCTGTCCCTGTGCTGCCAGGATGTGTGTTCTTCTTTCTGTGGATGCCTCAGAGCCAGCAGGTGAGCTGTAGTCATGTCCCAGTCATCTTCCTGCATTCGTGATGTGCCCTGGCCTCTCCACCTCGGCACAATTCCCATTTGGGTTCCTTTGCTGTGAGGGCTGTCCTGTATACTGGAGGATGCCTACACTGTCTCCACAGCACCACCATCCCCAGGGGTGACCTCTCCTCCAGTCACTGTCAGGGGCACTCGGGAAGTAAAACTACCCCTGGTTGAGAACCTCAGGTATAAAGAAACTAGCTGCATGCCACATATGGGCTAAGCGAGTGGACAGTTTTCAACACACTATAGGGAGGAGGACTTCTCTGAGGGTCCTCGGGGGACCAGAGGCAGGGAGAAGTAAGGGTTATTTCTTCCTTATCAGCTTTCTTTCTCTTTCTGGGAACTTCAAATTGGGCTAATAGTCTTAAGAAGAACAGATGGAACTGAAAGCGTCCCTGGCTGTAGAGTTGAAATGTGCCTTGGGTTTTTAGGAAGCATTGGAGAGAGCCCGTTGTGGTGGAAGAGCTGTGCGGCAGGAATGAAAGACCATGCTGCATGCAGCGGCCTCTCCACATGCCCAACTCGATGCCAGACCCAGCTCCCAGGGCACCACTTCCAAATACCTGTGGACAGGGTCTAGTCCAGCGATAAGGACCTCCATGAACACAGCTCACCAGCTACTGACTAACTTCCTTTGCTGCTCAATATGTGGCCCTAAAGACTGCGAAAGCCATTTAATCATCTTGATTTCTAGTAACTCCTGCCCTGTGGCCCTCCTGCTCCTACACAGGGCATCACAGGACTCTACCATCAAACAAAATCCAAGAGCCCTTCCAAATGAGAACATGTGAGAGGGTTGCTCTCATCCCTTAACCTTGTCTTCCTGCTGGGCTTCGGTTGGTAAGATTGTGACTGCGTCAGGACATACAACAAAGGACAGTGACAGCAAGTAGGGCCAGCTGGACATGGACGAATGAGGATCGAGCCACCTGGATCCTAAAAAGCAGAAGACAGACACCACCTCTTCCCCTGCCTGGCTGAAAGGAAGAACAGGAAGGGAGCTAGAAAAGTCTATTGCTCCATGCGGGGACCTCAGCATTTTGAAGCTCCTGGCAGAAAGTGTGAAATGGGACACACAGGTAAATTCATGGCCTGTACCTTGTGGAAAAGCCAGTTTTGGTGGCAGTGCAGGAAAGTTGTACCATGTCAACTTAAGGTCTGGAGAGTGTACACAGCTCTCTGCTATCAGCAGAGATGGCGGATCCTTATATGTTTCTGAACCTGCTGTGGTGACATATTTCCCCCTTGTCCTGGCTTTAAACTCAGAAAAACTTTGGAAGATTTTCTTCTCTCTGTCAAAACCAGAACTTTCTGTGTGCAATGATATCCAGGTGTCGGGCCATGAGAACTTTCACTGAGTGAGGGTGTAGGGAGACCTTATGGATACAGACTGCCTGTGACACTGCCTGTGGGTGACACAGCTGGAACCCCACTGGAGTGTGAAGAGAGCAATCAAACAGGGCCAGATGGACTGATGGACAGGAGAGTGCAGGATACAGGAAGGCAATTGTGTGTGGGGGGGTGGGGGGATGCTGGAATGCTGTCTCTGCCCCATCCAGCCCACACTGTCAGTGTGAAAGTGCAGAGTGGCATCCACCTTTCCTTCTACTTGTCGTGGTCTCTGAATGCACAAACATGTCTTATGCTCAGCCATGGAGATGGCCAAGCCACTGGCTCCCCAGGCACTGAGAGGCTCCAATGGCCCTTGACAAACTGTCTCTCCAGATGTCCCTGCAACAGCCCCACCACACACCCAGGACAGTCTCTCTAAGTCAGGGGGGAGGGATTCCTCAAGCGCCCTGTTCCCCTTCCATAAAACACAGTTCTGTTGCATAGCAAACCACATGTGCTGAGGACTGAGGGCTGAGAACTGCTTTCTGTGCTACCACGGACACTGAGAACTCATACTTTGCCTTAATACACATTCCAAAACCCCAGAGAAAGCCCTCAGAACCTCAGACTGAAATGGGCTCAGGACAGCAGGGTTCTCGCAGCCACTGGTCTCTAGGGTTGATTCCAGGGCAGCGCAGCTAGACACTGTTTTACCAGGAAAGAAGACAGTTTAGGACAAGAAACCTATTTAAAAAAAAACCCTGAGTGGAAAAGCCTGGCTGCTTTCAGAGTTCTCAGAACTTTGGGAGAATTTGGTCTTTCAGACAACAAAGCTATCCTTGTGCAACTATCAACAGATCTCAGGGCTTTAGAGCTCTAGCAATGCCAGATGGGTAGCCCTGTGGGTACCAGGATGCCTGTGGTGACAAGCCTGCAACACGGTTGTGTGAGAAAAATGATGGAACCAGCAAACCAAAGAGGTGACTCTCCGCACCAGCCTACTGCCCCCTCCAGCTGACCCCAAGCCCTGCCACAGCATGTGGTGACAAGAAGGTACCATTAGCTTGTCATTACCTCCAGCATGTCTCCAGGTCTTAAAAAAGGTTATTACCTAACAACCTACTTTTCAGTAAGCAAAGCCAGGCATGACAGTGCTCCTATCACCTGACCCATCCATGGAAGGGTCAGCAACCAACAACATTAACGTGAGTTGATGGCCATTGTCTAGGCAGTGGCAGTGGAGACCCTTGCAGACAGAGAGACTGCTCAGCAAGGAACGGGTGGGAGCGGTTTTCTGTCTATTATGTCTCTTGGCTGGATGCAGGCCACATGGCTGTGTTCAGTGGGTGATGAACACTAAGGATGAACACTTAGGATGCATGCACTTGCTTTTCTGTAAGGTAACCATCAGCAAGAAGTCCTCAGAAATTCTGAACTGCAGTGGGTTGATGCAAAAGGCTGCCTGGCCTACTGGCCCTTAACACATCTCTCTGACAGCACACAGAGTGACCCAGGCCCACACTCACCGGCTGTAGTCCGTCCTCCTGTCTCCTGCCCTGGCTCTGGCGGTTGATGAAGGACCGTGTGGAGACTTTGTAGTGATTCAGAAGGCAGACGATGACCACAACCATCACCGTGACCACCACGATGATGATGATGATCTGGGCAAATTCCAGCTCCGCTGCAAGGGAAGTGGAAAGTACATGAACCACTGGTTCCTCTGCACAAACTTCTGGGCACTGCCACTATCAAAGCTACCAAGAAGCCAAGGGCTACTGTACACATCTGCTCCCCAAAGGACAAAGGAGATAGAAACTGTGGTCCCATTTTAGAGAAGAAACGAGCTGAGTTGCAAGGTTGGTGTCTAACTGGGCTTCCCAGCCCCAGACTGGGGGATTTTACAAAGGACTATGTGAGAAGCTATAGGAGAAGCACAGGGAGTAATTCTAGCTATGTTAGAAGCCAACGAAGTATTTCAGTCCAGGCTGACCTGGGCAAAAACACATGAACCTATCTGAAAAATAACTACATCAAAAAGGGCTTAGTGGCTCTAAAGAGGTAGAGAGCCTACTCAGCAAACAAAATACTGAGTCCAAACACCAGTACCAGGAAGAGAGAGAGAGGAGGAGGAAGAAAGAGAGAGAGATAGAGAGGAAGGGGGAAGAGAGGGAAGAGGGGGGGGAGAAATGAAGAGGGAAAAGGAGGGAAGGGTGAGAGAGACAGAGACAGAGACAGAGACAGAGAGAGGCTAGGACCCTAGTATTCCCTCTAAGGCCATACCCCCAGTGACCTAACTTCTATTAGGCTCTATTTCTCAAAGGTTCCACCATCTTCCAATTTTTTTTTTTTTACAAAAGCACCAAGGTCTAGGTACAAAAGGGTGAGGAAACTGAACTTCTCACCCTAGATGGCAGAAAAGTCCCAAGGGAAATATGACCTCTCTAAATGGTCTATGAGGCAATGTCATGAGCAACTCTGAGGTTGACAGTCAGCAAGACCTGGCATGGGGCTCCATACCCTAGGAGCTGCCATTCCTTTGGATGTCCCCTAACACCTAATAGCTGACAACAGGACCTTTAGTGCGCCTTGACCCCCAGAAGCTTATCTAAGAATCTATTTCCTATAGAGAAAAATGGCAAAGGGAGACATAAAATTCATATACCCCTAAAATTTCCTGGTGGGGGCCTGTTGGGCATGGCAGAAACTGCTAACAGTCCAAGAACAAGTTCAAATGTGACCTCAATTATCAAGCACTTTGACAAATGGGATGTGATTACTAACCCAGAAACACTACCTTCCGGTCTCCTTTCCTTTTACCTGACCTTTCTGGGCCTGAGATCTCTTGGCTCTCTCCAGACCCCAGGCCCCTGGTACCATGTCATACCTCCCTAGTCAATAATCTGGAGCTCCATTTCTTCATTTTTGGATACCAGATAAAACTGTGCCTTTCCAGTCTGTTCTTCATGAGACATGATCATGAACCTGATATTATTTAATTTTATTTTTCATAGCCTAGTACTGGGTAGTGTCTGGCAGGTAGTTAAGTAGTTCCAGTAATAAGAAAAATGACTCAGGAGTATACCCAGATTCAGAGAAGATTCATGGACCCATGGCCCCAGAAGTGCCCTCTGTGAGTAAACCACTGCTGATAAGACAGAGGCCTTCACTGGGAGAAGACAAGGCCATCTCTGAGGAGCCCTGAGGGTCGATGCCAGGAATGAGTGGTTCAGTGAAGAACTTGAGGAAGGCAAGGAGTTCATTCTGTTCAGGCAGTCAGCGTAGTGATGAAGACTGAGTCCTAGATAATGCCTACTTTTACAAATCCTTGTTTTTATTTTACAGAGTATTCACAAATTACTGTTCAGGTTAAAGTGTGCCCAAGATTTACCAGTTTCCTTTTCTCAAGAGGCTTCATTGCTTTACAAACATGGAGAGGAATGAAAGCACAGGGAAGGGCCCTGCTCTCGTGGGTCAACTTTTCACTTGGATGTCTTTGTAGGCCATCCTTTCCTAAATACGGAGGGCAATGTAGATGAGTGTGTGTAGCAAAGCAAATCAAGTTGTATTTTCATAGTTCTGTGGGCATTTTTATATCATTAAATTTCATCCGAAAGGGTTATTATAAAAAAAAACGAAAACTTCCTGAACTGCAAACATTATAGATGAAAGAGTATACAGTGTGCAGTTGCTTGCAAGCCCTGAAGCTTCCCTGATTCCTCTACCTCAGGCTCATGTGTGATGGGCAAGTGCTCTACTTGTGAGGTATACCCCATCCTGGGCCTTCTTCCTAATTAGTGGACTCATTATGCAAATAAATGGCTCTTTTCCCCTTAGAACATGATAGACTTCTTTAAACAATACATATAAACTGATCTTGTTCTCTGTGGCAGCTATCTATAACAACATACATTCTCCACCTGGTGGCTGCTCAGGTGGTTTGTTGATTTTTATTTTTTTTTAAGTGATTTAAAGTGTGTGGACAGACAGAGAGTGAAAGAGTATACATATGAAAGAGCGTGAGTATGTTGTGTTGGCAGACATTTGTCAGTGTAACTGTAGGAAAGATCTCTTAAAAGTAAAATTCCATGTCAAGAGTCCACATCCTCTCCAGCATCTGTTGTTATTAGAGTTCTTGATTATAGCCATTCTAATTGGGTGAGGTGGAATCTCAATGTTGTTTTGATTTGCATTTCTTTTATGGCTAGAGAGGTTGAGCATTTCTTCATGTGTCTATTGGCCTTCCTTCCTTCCTCTTCAAAGAAGTGATGCCCCTCAGTAGATGAATGAATCAAGAAAATGTGATAGATAGATATACAATGGAATTCTATGCTTCCATTAGAAAGAATGACATTGCCCCATTTGTTCAGAAATGGAAAGACTTTGAAAAAATTACACAAAGTGAAGTAAGACAGCCCCAAAGAAACATAGGTCCCATGGTTTCCCTTATTTGCAATACCTAGTACATGTGTAGGACAAGCAGAAAAGGCCAAAAGCCATATACATATGACCATATAAGATGATGTTAAGCTAAATGAACCCCTAGATAGGGACACAAATATCTTTTTTCTTTCTTGCTATTGTTTCTAATGTATTTACAGTATACCATGTGATGTTTTTTGTTGCTTTGTATGTTCCTGCCCCATGGTATAACCCCTATTTTCACTGTATTTGATAGTGGTGCCCTGCATCTTGTATATACACTTCTCTAATTTGGGGAGGGGAAGGGAAAAAACAAAATCCTTAAATAAGGATACAGGTTGACCCATTGTAACCATGAGATGTACAAAACACTATGTTGAAAACGAACTTTACAACTTCAGTGGGGGGAGGTAGTTGTGGAGGGGGGAGGGAAGGGATGGTAGGGAGAAAACAAAGAGGCAACAATACTCAATAGGAAATGTACTCATTACCTTGTTCAAGTAACTGTAACCCCTCTGTACAGCATTTTTACAGTAAAAAATATGAAAAGATGTACCTTGTTTTAATTTGTATTTCTCGAATTGCTGGAAATTTCAGATTTTTTTTTACTATGGCTATGGTAATCTGTATTATCCTTTTTTACTCATATTAATTCATGTTAGTTTATTTGTAGTTTTTTATTTATTTCTCGTGTTTATAAGAAGTATTTACATATTACATCTACAAATCTTTGTTGTAGGTACTGCAATGATTTTTAACTTGGCTGTGAGTTTCTCTCTGTATAAATTTTCATGCCATCAAAAGACTGTCTTCTCCCTTTATGGCTTCTAAGTTCCATATTTTCTGGGGAGACTTCCTTTAGTATGATAAAAATATTTTTTCTTGTAAAGTTTTTATTGTTTCATTTTTATGTCTAGATATTTATTTGTGCTATATTTTATTCTTTTGACTGGAGATAGCACAAAATAGTCTGCATTGTCTGAAAGCAGTGCATCTGATCAAACAGTTTATTTTCTGAAGGAATACTTTATTTTCAATTCAAAAACTGATTAGATGGATGTCACTGTGTGAAACCATCATGCAAAGGGAAAAAAAGAAAATCCCAATCCAGGCACAGTGTTATATGCCCGCAATCTTAGCTACTTGAGAGGCAGAGATAGATCAGAAGGATTGTACCTTGAGGCCAGCACAGGCAAGAACTTAGCAATATTCTATTTCAACAAATAACTTGTCTGTGGTGACATATACCTGTAATTCTAGCTACTCAGAAGGCATGGGTAGGTGGTCTGTTGGAGACTAGCCTAGGCAAAATTTCAGATCTACCTGAAAATTAAATGAAGTAGCTGGGTTTGGTGGCTTATGACTGTAATCGTATGTATTTGAGAAGAGGAGATTGGGAAGATCTGGATTTAAGACAAGCCTAGGCAAAAAGCTGGTAACACCCCAGCTTATCTGATAAAAATCTAGGTATGATTGCATGGGCCTGTCATCCAGCTACAAAGGAAACATACAGCTACATGACAAGCAGTTCAGGCCAGTTTGGACATAAATGTGATACCCCATCTCAAAAATAACCAAAGCAACAGGATTTGGGATATAGCTGAAGTTTGCCCAGCAAGTACAAGGCCCTGAGTTCAAACCCAATGGTGAAAAAAAACTCCCACCAAGGCAGAGTGAGGTTATAGTATACTCAGGTGCTTGTGGAAGCAGAAACATGTTCTTCAGGGGGCTGCATGCCAGGTAAGCCACCTTCAGTAATTCCCAGCTGGCACTCTGGGGTAGGGAGGATGGCAGTCTGATAAGAGCCAGTTCTCCAATTCTACTATAGAACTTGGCCCAGGCATGAGAGGGAGATCCTTCTGCAGACAAGAAAGACCCAGGGGATGTCCAGGTCCCCATACCATCCCAACAAGTGACTTGTAGTTTGCTAGTTTTGTGTCAGGGTCCCTTGTGGCACTTCTGAATCCCACCATGCTGATGTCAGGGACTCCAGGAGTGGGGCCCGGAGTAGGTTGTCTACTCAAACCTGTGGCTACTTCTTGCTTTGAACTCAAGCCAAAACTGACAATGAGAACAGACCACTTTTTCAGGTAAGTTGCAAGAGATGGAAAATTAACAAAATGGAAAATATGAAGATTTTACTCTGCTTAGGGTTGCAAATACCATCCTAGGAAGGATCCAGTAAATTCTCAAAGAAAAACTGTAGAAACAGAGTAAGGATTTGGGGGGAAGAGCACAAAGACCTCCAGATCCTGGGTTCCT